ATCTTGCAAAAAGTTCTGGAAATGCCAATAAATTACTCAAAATTAATTACCACTAGAAGCAAGCGGAATAGCATCCATATATCCTTTGGCACTTGTACGGCCTGCAAAATTTTTTACGACACATTCACTATAATTATATTATATTATATATTTCAGGAAGCATCATTACAATTATTTGAAGTACGTCAACGTAAACTTACCATTACAATGGGTGTTTCCTGCGTGTTTACACTGATCTTCTACGTACTACCATTGTGCTTCAAATTGTTGGTGGAAGATAATGATAACGATCCAACAACCCGCTATTCCGAATTTGTCCGTATAATGGTAGCAATCAGCTGCAATGTGAATCCTTTAACAAATGTAGTTGCAGTTATGATAAAGCAAGATGATATTGCATATCGCGTAAAAGAATTATTACCGAAATGCATCCATAAAAACCTTTGTTGTCATAAAACGATTACTCCTATCACGACTGCAAGTATTCGAGTCACTGCTCCAAGAAGGAACTGACTATTGATTATGATAAAAATATGGATCATGGAAACACAGAAATTCATGCCTATCATGATACCTGAAGATAAGACTCATCATGTTGAAGTGAAATACTTTTTCTGATAAAAATTTTGAAATATTTTGCTTTGTCAATGCTCGACCGATTAATACGATATTGCCGTTCTAAGCAAAAAAGTCTTACCCTTCTTTTGCTTATTTGAGAACTGTAAGAAATAAACCGATAATTTTAAGTCTTATTGTCAGTTAGCAAATATAAGGCAGTCATTTTCAAGAATGAAGAAGATTCCTCTGAAGTCCGCAATGATGGCTGAAATGTCGTAGTAATCGTGTTGATTTCTTTAATTTAATACATCAAATATTTAAAGTAACTTCAGTTAAATTTCATGTTAAAAAGATAAGCTTTTACAACGTTTTCATTCTTATCAATTCTTCAGTGTTGTAATAGTGGTAATGTATATTAACTAGAATTTTTTGTTTCAAACCATATAAGTTTAATGAATTGTGAAAATACGAGATGAACTTGTCTACTATCGATTTTACATTGTATCAACACATTTATCAAAATGCTTAGAATACAGTATATTTTACATTGTTCTGTCTGAAGCAAGCATTACCATAACCAATTAAAGTGAATTTGCAATGGAAATGATTACAGATATATCATTTGAGTGTACTGAACTATCAAACAGATTGGAATGAATTTTCCGTAACAGTCATAATCACATGCTCCTCTTACAATCTTTAATCTTGCTCCCTTTCCACATTTAATCTTGGTCCTCTTGCCCCTCCACATGCTGCCCTTGCAATCCCTTGCAATCTTTAATCTTCCAGTTGATCCATCATTGCCTTCCAATGTTGCTAAATAAATAGGTGTATCAGCACCCTCTTCAATTGTTGGAGGGTTATGATGACTTGTAATATCTGTATTAACATATCCGGGATGATACTGCAAGAACTTCCACTCGTTTCAATAAAGAGTAGAAAATTATTTCCTTGATGAATCATTCTGAAAGTCACAATGAATAAATATTTTCCAATAAACCTGTTCCCTGGTTGTAGCCACAAATTAAGAACAGAGAGATTATTCTTTTCATTAATGAATACTTAAATATTTTCAAATCAACTAAATCACAATATATTTCTCAAATCAACTCATTTACACTTACAATGATTTGGATTCCGGAAAAGAAGAAAAAAGTGAATTCCAGAAAATTGCGGACCATATTTATGAAAAATATTTCGAGGTTTCAGTTGGCTTGGACGAATGTGAATAAATCTCGGCTGCTTTTAGCGCTTTATAGGTAATCACTAGTGAAGCTGTCGATATCAGCAACTGTTAGTAGATGGAAATGAAAATAGCGAAAACTATAATTAAACATACAGCTACATCAAAGAAAAATATCGCAGCAGAATTCGATGGAGAATGTTTCGAACTAATCAATAATGATTTTACAGATTTTGAATTATTAAAATAAAAGTAAGAGAAACGTCAGAATTACGGCAATATTTCTGTGGAGAGATTCAAGCTGAGTAAGAAAAATATTAATTAAATCAAGACAAGCCTATACAAGAATTAACTAATATGTTAATGTTAATAGGCAAACTAAAAATAGTCCATTCAAAAATTCAATTACAGTTTAAAATTTTTGATTAAAGTAATTTTGGCATTATACTATTGATGATAATTTCAATTACAAATCAACTGGTAGATAATATTGAACTTTCCAGGACAGATCTTGGAAAAGATTTATTGCCGCTTTTGTCACATCGATGAACCTACTTTAATGTGCAGCAAACAACGGTGATCTATTAGCAGATACGGTAGCACAATGTTAAAACAATATATTAATGAAATTTGAAGCTTTAAAAGTGTGAAGAATTATCATTGAAATTATTATAGTACTAGGCAAATTTATGAGATGAAAGTATTGGTTGAGAATGTAACGAAAGATTGAAGCAAATATGAAAATCTCATGATATTTAGGTATAACAAGAATGATCTAAAAAATCAATACATCCGTTGTAATCTGATTTCATTGGATCGATATTCTCTAATTTGATATATGAATTGATAAAATTCTTCTCTATGATTATTTAATTTTTGCTACCAAACTTTCTTCATTGGTATAAGATTCTTCATTAGTGAGTTGTATCCATCTTCGTGCTTTCTTCAACTTCTGCGACCCCTACTTTACTACATTTGTCGGTCTTGTCCGTGAAGAAGGAATGGTTGAATAGCTATTTTTAAATTCATAAAATTCTCCTCTATGACTATTTAATTTTTTTTGCTCAATTCAGTATTGAATTCTACATGCATTCTTTTTCCACAATCGAATAGACCTTCGAACTCTTCTAGCATAATATCATATAATATCATGGCATTTTGCAATGACACCTAACTATCATTCTTATTTTTTCAGGGACTGATATGATCATTATCATTATAACTAACCATTATTTTTATTCCTATTCCTATTATTATTACTATCATTATCCCTATTATTATCATTATTATTATTATCATTAGAGTTGTTTACTTGTGAACGTACATAATTATTGCCGAACGTATAGCAAAATTATTAAGAGTTTTCTTTCTTTCTCACTTTTTAAATTATTAGTACAGGTAGATAGATGATAGTTGTAATCGTATTTGCTCTGCTTTATTTATTTCATCCGTAACTATACTGTAATTAATTATCTAATTGCTTTCAAATAAAAAAGATTGAAAGTTTATCAACAAGTTAAACAAAATATATTTTATCTTTACTCATTGAATTTTTTTGTTGGAAGGAAATACCAATGTCAAATTTTCAATATTGAAAATATTACTTCGGATAATTAATCACCAAATTTCACCTTATTATTTAATTATTGATTTTTGGCTAAATGATCAGTCGTAATTTTTTAGTGATATGAGAAATCAAGAAAGATAAACGATTTATCATAGTGTTTTTTAAATCATTGATTTCTTTTTTGGATACTTATCATGAATTGCGATATTATATTTTGCAACATATAGAAATACTTTATTATTCGATCCATGAACAATTAATTAGTGTTAATGTTATTTTAACTTATTTAAATTATCAGTGATGAATTCTATTTATATTCCAATACTATTATCACTCCGTCTTATCAGCATAGCTATTGCATTTCATTTAATAGAAGGAAATTTTAATTGCATTATATATACATTCGGAAGATATCAGCTATCAAATGAGATAAGCACAAATTCAAGTCAGTTGTAAATGAGAAGAGATTCAAATTTGGCAGACGACAATTTCTGATATATTTCATTGCAAAAAGGCAAATATCATATTTTTGGTTTTATGGTGAAATCTAAAAAAGTTAGAGAAATGAAAGAAGATAAAAGTAAAAAAGGAAATTCGATTACATGTGGAAATTTCGGTTATTGAAAAGTTGCATTCTTAAAAATTTCAAAGTTTTGAGTATATAATTTTAGTGGCAGCTAAAATTAAACAATTTTCCCTATATTAAACATCTCAATCTTTCATTCGGAAGATATCAGCTATCAGATAAGATAAACAAATTCTAGTTGCAAATTAGAAGAGATTCAAATTTGACAGACGACAATTTCTGATTTTAGTAGCAGTTAAAATTAAAAAACTTTTTTCATAATATTTGTGGAAAAAAGAAGGAAATGAATGGATTTGAAATTTTTGTTAATTAATATTGTTGGCATTCAATTTATGATTACAATTATTGCCATCATTGGCAATTTATTGTTTACGCTTCAGTTGACTTTTTGGCTTCTGGTTGCTGATAAGTTTATAATGGGCTTCTTTGATTTGTCGAATAAGTTTTTCCTTAGTGTTATGTGTGAAGTTGTTAATTGGGCCATCACTCTTCACTGATAAAACATTTTTCTTTTTTAATTACAGCAGTTCTATATATTTCTTTGATAAAACTTAATGTATTGATTTCTTCAACATTTACCAATCATTATGTATCTAAAACTATCACCTTCAGAATTCCAACCACTAAAATGTTTACAAAAATCATTATTAGCTTTGAGATCAAGCTATTACGCTAATTATTGGTATGATGAATGTTATTGTTGATATCTAACATTAATAGTATACAAATAAAAAGGAATTAAATTAATTCGGTCCGCATATGATAATTTCCCTGCTGCCATCATAGCTGACATGAAGAAATTCATAATTCAATATTTTAGCTAAAGAAATCCTTAAATAATTCCTTGTTTCATTAAGCACTAAGTAAAGTCGGTTAATTAATTATTATTACAAATTGTTGTTGATTAAAAGAAATCATTAAAAAAAATTTTTTGGATAATTTTTAATATAGTTCAACTGTAATTTATAGTTTCAGTAATGAATATCACTGCATATGATTATGAAGGTAGCGGTAAATTAAAGGAAGACGATCAGCTATTTTTTATAATTACATTTGCTATATATGTATTTGAAGGACTTCTCCTTATCATTAGCAGTGGTTTGATCGAAGTGGCACTAATTAAACATCAATATCTCAGACGCCAATATACCATTTTATTTGCGCAGGTAATTAATTTAAATCACAGCAGGCCAATTGAATCGTCTGCCTACCTTTTGAACAGCTTTTTTCATCCAGGCTTTTGCTGATACATTGTTGGGAGTTGCATATTTTCTAACCGCAATCTATCGTCTTATTGTGATCAAATTTGGATGCAATCGAAAAACCAGACGGCACTGCTTGTTGCTACCATGGTTATCCTTTTTTATATGGTAATTTCTCGCATTTTGTTTTCCTTTTACTTATTTATTAACTCATTTCCATCATTTCCTCTATTACTCGTTTGCTATTATAATGCTAATTAATTTGTAAGTAACAAAAATGACTTAGGTCGGAGTTAATGTCAGCTACAGCAACACTCATGGTGAGTACGGATCGAATCATTTTGTTTATATCACCCTTGAATTATTTTGAGAAAAATTATGTATATCAAATCAGGCAGGTTAGTCTTCATTTTTAAT